GTGCCTGAGGGGCTCTGTGGCTGCTTGGGCAGCCCTCATGTCACAGACAGCCATTCTCATGCTCCTCCAGGGAGAGCAGGAGCAGACAGGCGTCTTAGGAGGTCCAGTGCCTGCAAGGAGCCAGAGAGCTGGATCAGTGAAAGGAAGCTAAAGTTGGAGCTTACTCATACTTGCTTTTGCAGCGTCGCAGAGGCTACGCCTGTGCACATGTAGTGTACCAGAAGTACAGGCTTTTCTCCAACATCTAAACATCTCGTATGTCTCATGGGACTTTCTGACAATAATTTCAAAGCCATTGAATGATTCATAAATTGAGTCTTCAAATTTTCCGAATAATTGCAGGGAGAAGGCTGAGGAAGGTCGGAGTGTCAGGGGCATCACTACCGCTAGAAGGATATGCCAGAATGCCATACTGGTCTGTGTGCTTCATTGCAGTGTTTAAAGGACCCCTTGAAACTGTAGTGGGTGTCCTGGGTGTCCCTTGCTGATAGCTGTAACCTATAGAAGACTTGCTCACCTGCAAGTATTTCCTATATTCTTTCCAGCTTTAAAGATACTATCTTAAAGTGGAAGACATATATAGCAATACAAATACAGTAAGCAGGTTGTGCTTAACAGTTGTGCACAGAACAGTTTTATAAGTACACAGAAGTGTGCAAATTCTGTGGTGGCAGTTCATGCAGCTGGGCCTTTGCTGTTCAGGTTGTTATTAATTAATAGAAGTAGGTGGAATTTTTTTCTTACATTCAGTCTACTTACCTACCCATATGGATGCTTAGGTTAAGAAAACCCAAGCAATTTACTTTGAAGTGCCAACTTCTTCGAAAACAGGCTACATCTAATAGCTTTTGCATACTGTATTTCAAAATGCTTAGCACCAGTGTCAGCTCCCGCTTAACTGCTGGTCAGATGAAGCCAACCCAGCAGGTTTCCTTCGTGTAAGGTCTTAGATAAGATGAGATAAGATCTTTTTCCTTCTTTGCAGACACAAGCACCAACTGAGCATCTTCAATATTAATTCTTTCTGTATCATAGAATCATAGAACAGTTTGGGTCAGAAGGGACCTTAAAGATCATCTAGTTCCAACGTCCTTGCCATGGGCAGGGACACCTTCCACTAGATCAGGTTACTCAAAGCCTCATCCAGCCTGGCCTTGAACACCTCCAGGGATGGGGCATCCACAGCTCCTCTGGGCAACCTGTTCCAGTGCCTCACCACCCTCTGAGTGAAAAATTTCTTTCTTCTATCTAATCTAAATCTCCCCTCTTTCAGTTTAAAGCCATTGTCCCTTGTCCTGTCACTACACGCCCTTGTAAAAAGTCCCTCTCCAGCTTTCTTGCAGGCCCCCTTTAGGTACTGGAAGGCTGCAATAAGATCATTCACACTCCTGTTCTCTCATGAGCCATGCCATGGGCAGAGTAAAAGTTACGTTTTGTGGCACATTTGCATATATTTAGTATAAGCTTTACAATAGTGCCTGGAGGAACCCTAGGGTCCATCCATCTAAATCTCCTGTAAGACAATCGCAGCGCAACTGAGGAACTGCAGCCACTGCCTGGGGCTAACCTGCCTCAGCTACCTGGCATGACTTTGCTGTTGAGGGCATTTTGGTCAAATGTTAAATACTTCTCCTTATGTAGTGTGGTTTGGTGTTTATTTCCTTTAGTTTTTTGTGTTCAGATATTAATATAAAAGTAGGAGGCAGTTTCTTTCTTCTGCTTCTTGAGTCTTGGAGATCTGATGCCAGTAGACTCGACTGAGCTTTGATCTTGTGTTGGGAGACTTTAGCACTGTTTTACCTGGATAAGGATTGAGTGAGGATAAAACGCAGCATAGGCTGTATTGTAAGGGAACGTGTACTATTGAATAGTTGGTCTTTTTTTTTATTAAAAAAGAAAGAAAAGTAATAGGTGGACGGAGGAGGGATGTGTAGCAGGAGCTTTGCCTTTTAAATAGATATTCTTTCTGTTACTTCCCTTTAATTGTAGATCACTAGAGATATTTTTAGGCAGAGTTTAACCATCAAATTATAAGAGCAGCTTCAATGTAAATGATCAACTATGCAAAGTATGAAAGAAATACTTTTCAAAATCACATGAAGTTACCCTGACTTAGCAAATCCCGACATAGAAACTCTAATCTTATTATTTGGGCAAGAGAAGCATTTAGTCTTAAATATTCTGACAAAATAGAGTCCAGTATTTGTAACATGTAATTAACGCTAAAACACATTAAGCCAGGTTAACCCTGGCACAGGGGAGCAGAAATTTGTCAGCCAACTTGCACCAGCAGAAAATTGGTCTTGGAGACACTTAATGGCATAATTAGGACTCAATTACAACTGAAGAGCCAACCTTAGCAGGA